CAAGTTCAGAGGTCAGATGATAAGACCTGGAAAAAACCCCACATCTTATTAGAGGTGAAAGGTCAAGGTTTAATAAGCAATAAGGTCTGATTTTCTCTGGATTACATGATGCAGTGGATGGACTCATCTGCCAGCTGTTAGATTAGAATTAGTCGATAAAAGTTAAGATGCTCAGTGTGGTGCACACCAAATCTAGAAAGGTAGTAGTTGGTAGTATTTCTGGTAGTGGTTGTCTGCATTAGTAATCCTTGTAGAAAGAGGTTAAATATATTTTTAATATCTGTGACTTTCAGTAAAATTGATAAAAAATACGGATAGAAATTTAGCCCTAAACCATTACAGAGCCCAACTTTATTGTATTATCCAAACAGCAGTGGTGGTGTTTCTGTGTCCTGGTGCTTCTCTGAGATATTTTAGCTTTCTTTTCTTCAATGTTCATATTTAAATTATTTATTATCTTTGGCCACGGACATTTGAGTTGCTGTAGCCTTTAATAGGAAAGTAAATTGCAAAATACATATAACAAAGTACTAATAAAGATCTAAAGCTCTAATAATTATTTTCTGTCTTCCAGTATGACAAAATTAAAATTTCACTATTCCTCTAGAAGAAGCCTCTTCTGATGAATGTTAATAGAATTTCAAACCTAATGTGCTTTTAAAAATCCTATAATTCACTTGGTTAAATCTTCTTTTAAAGACCAGTCTGTGTCTGTGTCTGTCTAACACTAACAGCAAAATCACAGTTTCCTCTCAGCACAGTATTCGGCAAGGGCATAGAAACAAAAAAGAGATAACAGTGGATGGAGAAATATAAAGGAACAAACACAATCTGTTTCTGCACTAGATGGAGATGAATGGACCATAATGCATTGCCTCTCATCACTCCTAGCCAGACCGCGCTGTGGCTGCTCGCTGCTGAAGCCCAATGATGATTAATCATACACACACTATTTATACTTCCTAATTGTAATTAGCACGAATTATCAATTACGGTTAGTGCCTAATTGCCCTTCATAAAGACAGCTCCCGAGGTTTAAACGGCTCCATTTAAATAATGTAACTAATAGCTCTTGCCTTTACATTGCTGATACGTCTTCATTGTTCCACGACTGAACCGTGATGGTCGCTCGTAATTTAACCGGGCAATTGGGAGAAGGAGTGCAGGTGGCGCTGCGGGACTAATTACGGTTAATTAATTATGATGTGACCTTCTCAGAACAATGGCTAATCAATGCTAGCGATGAGTGACAGTGTGCTCCATGCAGATGACGGCGACCGCACAGCCATAACTGCAGGCCTCAGCTTCTTGGCAGCTGAGATGGTTGTAGTCTTTGCTGTCACTCTCCTGGATTTACTACACCCGTCACCCGTGGCTGTGATTTGACTTTCTTTTTTTCTTTTTTAAAACATGACAGTAGAATAATTGTGCTGCTCCTTTTTATATTAGCAGTTTAAGGCCAAGCTTTCACGCCAAAGCTAACTCATAACAGTGGTGTAGGACGACAAACCCGAAGGAGAGAAGGTCGTAAATGGATCGTAACGGATGCCCTGATTTGGCAGACCTGGTCGTTTCTGGTCCTAGCTATGTAACTACATCTGTCATCTCTCTAGGCCTTTGCTGAAATACAATTTCTATTTGCGTTGTTTTTCGCATAATGGTTTAAATACAACTGCCGTTTACGACCATGAAGTCACATGCTGCTTTTCTCATCTAAAGCGTAGACCTGTTGGGGCAAGCGTGAAGATTAACTGGCATTTAGGATCTGGAATCGTTTCACCGTCAGTACTGCTAGCAAAGCTAAGCCATATGCCTACAACTTTGTGATATTTTTTTTAAAGCTATTGTCTCTGCAACTTCTTCAAGGAGTTCACATTTATGGTATCTACTCCTTGAAGAGCAGTATTATTACAAGTCAACATTTGCTGACAAGAGCAAACTGCAGGGGGCGTTCTGTACTGACCTTTACCTTCCTGTGACACAGGTGCAGCATGACTGACAGTGTCCCTCAGCATTATTTACCCCACCCTCCCGTTGCCCTCTATCTCCTCCGTGATGCAGTTGACCCCCTTTACAAATCACCCCCCAACTTTACACATCTGCTGCCTGTCAGCATCTGCCAGACGCACTCACCCGTCCTAGTCGTAATGAAAAACTCTCATTACTCGCCTCCGCCCAACAGGTATAACAGGCCGTTAGGACAATTACTGGGCAATGCCACTGACCTTGTTGTCAGAGAGTCAAACAAACACTGAGGTAGAAATGAAAGCAGAAATGGCAGGATCCAAAGACTGGTTGTAGTTCTGTAGACGATGAAGGTGATACTACGGTAATAATAAAACCATGTGGAGTAAAAGTGTACAAGACAAACATATCTGACAGACAAGAGTGAGTTGATAATGTTTCAATGGTGTTCTAGTGGAAACTGGAGATTTATTCTGTTCAGCTGTACCATGGTTACCATCGAGAGATTTTCAGAAGTTTGTGTTCTACAAGTCTGTATATATGGGGACCAAATTAAAGAAATTAAATTAAAATTAACGTCCATTCAGATGTGGTTGGTTTGTGGACCGTAAGTGGCCCCGGGCCAGGAGTTTGCGATCCCTTCTCTAAAGTTATACGAGAAAGGAAAAAGTGTCAGCTCATCAAAAGTATCAGGATTAAATGTTAATGCCCCCCAGGGTCCACAGACACCGTTGTCTACGAGTGTGTGCCAGACATGACAAGCCATGAGAGTTTCTGTTTCTTAGAAACAACCTGCAACTACAGCGATGAGGAATCTGACACAGGATCTAACAGCCACCCTGAATGGTGGACCAGACTCTTTCTGATCTTTTGTCCCACTGAAGGGGAGATGGGTGGGGGCAGTGAAGAGAGACCTTAGAGAAAACAATGGGAACAAGAGTGGAACTGCAGCTCATAATGCCTCTGCTGCCATTAGACAAATTATCTGACGTTTAGCAGACTGGGGTCAGCCTCCCTGTGAAGTGATGACTTTATTGACCCTGGAGGGGGGTCTCGGATGGAAGTGTGTCTCTTTGGCTCCCTGCTGTGTCCCACAGAGAGCGCTGGAACTCTGCTGTGGAACGTGCAGACTCAAAGGTGATCCAGCTGCTGTTCCCGCTGTCTGAAGTCTACCTGAGGGCCTCTTTGTCTGCGGGGTCCGTCCCTTTGTGCCGCCGACCCACACAAACAAACAGATGTCCGGCCACTGGGTCTTTCTCGTAGGAAGTTGTAAACCTCCAAGTGTGCAGCGGCTGCCCATTCATATGGAGCGACTACATTAACGGTGGTGCATGTGGCATACACATGCAAATGCTGACATGCTGACACCCCATGGGTTTAGCTTTAACAAATGTTTGACTATGTAACTACTGCAGGCTGTGTCAGTCCGACAGACTGTGGCGGAGAAGTGAAACCTCCCTGCTGCTCAGTGTGATCATTGTGAGGTGTGTAAGTAGCACAGGAAATTGTGTAGCGGAGGTATTTGGGAGACCTTTTAACAGTGTGTAAACATGATCAGACCCCCTCCCCCCTCACCCCCCGTACTATAGTACTGACACTGAACACTGAATCCCAGCGTAGACCTCACACATTCAGGTTATAAAATATGGAAATGCAATAAATAAACAGCCCTTCGTCTGCCTGTACTTTACAAACATGTTTTAGCAACTTTTATTCAAAATGCAATTTTGAAAAGCTCTAACTTAACAGTAAAAAAAAATAGAATTTGGAGTGTGACCGTGGCGATCAACTAAGACCTTCTCTTCTGTGGCTGCAGTTTGGTTTTTCCAGCATCCAGAGTGACTGTCTGTAACCATCAGCTCTTTATCTGTGTTGGACACCTGCTGGGAATATTGATCACAGTTGGTTTCACCATTTAAACCATCAGAGGGCGTCAAGCCTTAAACAGGCCCGTGTCACTTTATATTGAATACTAATAATAAAAAGCCGGGGCGCTCATTGATTTGTGAATATAAATCCGTCACCTGAGGTGAGAAGACAATCAGCAGGTGCAGTCATTGTGTGGCCACAGTTTAGCTCTGAATGGTGTTAAAGATGCAGTCGGAATAATAATGGCTCATCCTGGATCCCTTCAGTCTGTACCAACCTCACTGACTCCTCTGAAATAAGACGGCTGCTGTCAATGAAAATGGACTGAGAGGAAACGAACGAGAAACAGTGTGTGGAAAAAAAAACAAAAGAAAATGTGTTAAAACTATAGAAAGAAAAAACCCGAAAAAAACAAAACAAAAGAAAATGTGTTAAATTGTCATTGTAATCATATCAATATGGTTAATAATAAAAGTAAAAAGCAATAGTATTGTAGTGTAGTAAATCAAATTAAAGAAAGAATGAAAAATAAAAAATGAATAAATATGAAATTACTAAAAGTATAGTAATAGTAATTGTCAATATTGTGATATAATGGCTGTAACTTGGACTGTGAACAGTACACAGGCCTAAACCCTGCAAAAAAAGCGATGAATATATCCAATACATTTTATTCTATAAAACAATGAAAACCCAGCACTTAATGGGTGAAAATGTAAGAAAATTGTTTTTACGGCAGAAAAAAAACGTATAAATTATAATGACAAATATATGAAAAACATTCCTAATATGTTCTAATCCAATATTTATATTCATGTTATGATATTACACGTTAGGGTTTGCACTTTTAAAAGCCATTTTAATACATGGAGGAAAGGCCTGGAATATTCACATCTTCATGTTAGGAGGACAGATTATTAGGGTGATGTCTCCTGGTCCCCGAGGACAGACAGGAAAGTTCTCCCACTGACGGCTCTGCTGCTGCTGTAACACAGTGTTTATTTGAGTGAGAAAGGATTTGGATCAAACACCATCTGGGCTCAATTTACCTTCGAGTCTTGGATTATTGAATTTAATGATATGGGTGATTATCGACGAATGCTTTGAGCCCATTAGGCGGCTGTGTGAAACGCTAATAGTGTTTGTGTCACGTGTCCGGCTGAGAGACGTCGGGGGGAGCAGAGGGGGAGACACTTTAAAGACGCGCGCTCTGGTCATTTCATCCTGACTGACAGACAGACGTGAGGCGAGAAGAGGACCCGAGTCCAGACTCTGAGAAACCATCTTTACTGATCCGGTTTCCTGAAGCTCCACGGACTGAAGTGCTGACCAACTATGAGAGATTCTTCTGCGCGTAATTACGCACGGACTCGTTGTTTATTTGGCTGCGTTTGCGCGTAAACGATGCTGGATCCCAAGAAGTGCGGAGTGACGATGACGTCCAGTCATAGGATTTCCTTCTCCATCATAGATATTTTGGATCCCAACAAATTTAACAGCAGAAGAGCGAACGAACTTTCCAGAGATACGGAGAAGTTTTCCTGCCCACACGCAGAAGAAAGAAGTTTGGAGTCGGACTGCAGCACAGAAGACGGAGAGGAGCTGACGAAAACAGGTATTTGTGATTAATTGGCTTAATTTGAAAATATACTTTTATACTAGTTATATTTGTAGTTTATTTCTTTTATCAACAAAAATCCCAGAACCCGCTCCTCACAGTTGATTTTCAGATTTATCATTGAAAAAAAAAAACAGAGTCTGTTGTCGATCAGATTGACTGTCATCTCTCTATGACCTTCCCTCAATTTCCAAGCCTCGGATTTCTTTTCACTGAAGCCACAAAGGCTGGCTCCCACACACACACACCCCCCCCCCCCGGCCCCCCGTGTCTGTGATTGGCACCGGGACAGGCAGCTGAGATAATTGTTTAAATCGTCCCATTGAGGATGCCTGTGCTCGCTTTGATCGATATCCCATTACTGCATCCTGCATATCTCCCTCCAACACCTTGCAGGTACAAACTTCACACCCCATCCATGTCTGATCCTAAACGCGGTTCGATTAAAACTTCCCCTTAAATAGATGACATTTATCGATCCTGGCGCAAATATGAAACTCTATTAGCGCGTCACGGCCTGGGTGTCGGGAGCCGGGTTTAGCCGGGATTTCTTTCCGCAACATGACATTTGAGGCGCCGTGTGGTTTTTATAAATTATTAAAGGATTACTGACCCCCAGTCCCCGACCCCCCCACCCCCAACCCTCCTCTGCTCCTTCACTCCTGCTCCTCCTCCTCTGGGTCTTTGCCACGCTCCACTGACCTCAGGATCCTAATCAAACTCTTCACAGATGTCACTCATATATTACTGTGTTTATGGGACGTGGGCAATGTGGGAAAAAAAACATTTGACGTCAGCTGTGACCTGGAGGGTTACGGATTTTTACGGAGCGCAGTTAGGGGATTTATTTGGTCAATTTTTAGGCATTTTTAATGTCTGTACTTAAAACAATCTGTTGTTTGAATGACATAAGAGTTAAAATAATAACTTTTTGGAAAATCATAATACAGCCTGAAATACTCATAATGGTACTGTATACTGCAGTGTGGATGTTTAGATGTGACTCGTTGTTTTTGTTTCAGGCGATGACAAAAGAAATGACACTTCAGCCTCCAGGCATCAAACAGTTCTTACTGACCCTCTGCAGTCCTCGGACCTAGAAGAACCCTGCCCCCTTGAGGGCCAGGATGATGGAGAATCTAGGGTCACCCCGGATCAGACCCCTTCCATGCACAAGCGCCGGCGCTCGGACCAAGGCTGTGCCAAACCGCGACGGGCCAGGACGGCCTTCACCTATGAACAACTGGTGGCTCTGGAGAACAAATTCCGGGCAACTCGGTACCTGTCTGTGTGTGAGAGACTAAACTTGGCCCTGTCCCTGAGTCTGACCGAGACCCAGGTGAAAATCTGGTTCCAGAACAGAAGGACCAAGTGGAAAAAACAGAACCCCGGGGCGGACAGTACACTGCAGCCCGGGTCCAAATCCCTTGTCAGTGTCAGTCCGAATCCGACCACGTGTGGGTCGAGCCCTGCCGGCTTTCACCAAACTTTCCCAAACTTCAGCCCTGGAAATGTGATCTTCCACACAGCCGGTGCTGTTCCACTTACATCCACTGGGGGGCTCCTGCACCCCTTCATGTCCAATGGGTTCGTGCAGCCCACTTATTTTAACCCACATCTATGAAAGAAGCCACAGCTTTGGACCATGACAAAAACGACTTTGACCTCATGCATCATACAAGGAGAAAATGCAAACGTTTGAACTAAACGAAAACGATTCGACTGTATAAAAACGAATACAGCTAATTCTTGCAATCACCTGCTTCAATGTAATCAAACCCAGATGTTCACCACTCTGTACTGATCGTGTGTCATCATCCTATAACGTGTCACTCTGTCTTGAAGGTTTTACATTTGTTGCCATAACATGCAAACGTATAATTGTAACTTAATAAAAATTTAATTGAAACATTTCTAATATTCCTTGTTGTGTAATTTATTTTGCTAAACTAACTCATTGACTATCAATAAATGATCGATTTTTTTACTTAAAAATAGTGTAACTAACTTTTCATGGATGTAAATTAAATATAAAATATATGTAGTAATAATATATAGCAATGAAATGTTATAACCACAAATCTTCATTTGATAGGTTTCATTTAATCGCCATCGTCCATACCTGCATTTACAAACTACAGCCACAGTGCGGCACTGTTGTATTCTAGTTTTTACACTACACGCAAAACCCTACAGGCTGAAAACTGGACTCCACGACACTTCCTTAATTCTCTTATCAAAATAACATATTAAAATATAAATTTACATTTAAAATGTGCCCTTTATTTCAGATAGTTAATCACAAAATGTATTTTTTTTACGTTTGATGCAAACGTTTTTAAAATAAAGCATAGTGCAAAAGTAAAATGTAAATAATGCAGAAGTATGTTTTATTTAAAATTAAATTAAATGTTTTTTTTTGCAAAAATGTCTAGCTACATATTTGTAATAATAGTAATAATAATAATACATTGCTTTTACTAAAATACAAAATAGAAATTTCCTGTCAGGAAGATGTTTTGTTTTTAAAGAAGTCATTTGTCATCAGTCCGGTTCTCTTTAGTAGAGAAGCCAAACAACTGTGGAGGGAAATGGAAAAGAAAACAAACTCTGTTTTCTGTCACACAGCAAGGCTGAAATCATTAGAGAAGTAAAGTGAAATGTCTGAGGCCGTCATCATCTTCACTCTGAGTGAAACTTTAAAAAGCAAGATGGTTTCTGTGTGACAGTTAAAGGAGCCGTTCCTTTGGAAAGCGACGCTGCTGCATGAAGATAACGTCTCATTAGAATAAACCGCCTCTCATCTTGTCCGTGGGAGTCTGACTGTGGCTTATTCCTGTTAAATGGATCGGAATTGATTCACATCTCTCAGCTGCAAATGCTGTTCGTGTAAATGTAGCGGAAACTCAGGCTATTTTAGCGTCTGATGTTGAGCTAGGCTGCCCTCTAATGGACGCCTGGTGTCTGTGCATCTGTGCAAACGGCCAAAACAGTTGATACAAATCAACTTGGATTCATCCCTAAAATAAACTGTAGTTT